AAAAAAAAAAAAAAAAAAGGGTGGGATCCCCCCCCCCCCCCCCCTCCCCCCGGAAAAAAAAAAGTTTTATCTTTTTAAAAAACCTGCTAATCTGGTACTACAAATAGCCCCCACTGTTCAGAATATGAATTAAAACAAGAACCAGATGAAAATACTTTTACATCCAACAGGAAGAATTATCAGATGTACAAAATGTGTGGCCTATAAATGAACAAGGAATCACAGCTTTGCAGGCAAGAAGAAGTTTTCTTTTCCACCATAAAAAATACCTTATTTGTGAAAAAAAGAATTGCACACAATGTCCATGTATTAAGCAACATATAGCTCAAACCAGTGTTAATTTTTACAGCAAATGTCGATTTAGTTTTAGTCGTAGTCTTTAGTTTAGTTTTAATCATAGTCTTTTCACTAAAATGCCATTTAGTTTTAGTCATATTTTAGTCATCTGAATTGTTTTAGTCAACTAAATATCATAAGATTTCAGTTGATTAAATCTACAGTAGATGTAGTCTACTAAAATCTAGTGGGTTTAGTTAAAGAGTAATTTAAGAACTTTTCCAGAATTTCCAATCTCATTCTACATTCCTGGAGTAAACCTGTAATTACTTATAGTATTAAGTAGGGATGCTCCGATACAAGCATCGGTATCGCTGGCGATACCGAGTATTTGCATGATTACTCGTGCAAATACTCCGATTCCAAAAACGTGTACCTGTGCCGCATCCGCCATCTTCAATGCCCCTAAACCGCCGCACACAGGACCTCCATAGCTTCTTCAATTAAACAAGATGGCTGTAAACTCCTCCTTCACGGGCGAACGGCTGAAACTAAACTCCGCCTCCAAGTCCTCAGTCCTGACTGGTCAGAAAGCCTGTCAATCATCCAATCGGCCAATCAGCGGGAGAAGAGGCCAGCATGGAGCAGATGACTAGGCTGTGACACGAAGTGGCTGAAGCAGATGGAGAAGACGACACAGCAGGCTAGTACTGCAGCACCGCATAGGGGCTGGGCACATGATTGCACAAAAATGCTGTCTTACTTTATATACAAAATTCAATAATAAAATGAATATTTGTTCGGGACGGCTTATACTCGAGTATATACGGTATAAAGTTTTTTATAATATAAAGCCAGGTATACAGAATTGGATATAGCTGTGCCACACTATACAGTGAGTCTGGACATGTGCTCATCTGTTTTCCCCACTATGGATACAAGCCTTAGTTAGCAATGGCATGATAAATATTAATTTCATGTCCATGTTCTTCATAATATTAGGAAACTGACCTAAAATCATTATTTTGTATTGCTTTAGTAAAAATGTGACCTGTCCCTTTAAGAAAAAGTATCGCTAACTGGTATCGGTGAGTACTTGAAAAAAAATATTGGTACTCGTACTCGGTATCGGAGCATCCCTAGTATTAAGGTTTGAACATGCAATACAGACACATATTTAACTGTCTTGCTATATAACATGTCTTTATCTTAAAATGAGATAAAACCAAGTCTTATAAAGAAACAATAATATTGAATATTTTCAACGAAGGACCAGTAATTAGATATGCATTGATAATAACAACTTCCATATGACATTCTTCATACTTTCAAGCAGAAGTGCAATTCTAAAAAATAAAATGAGAAACTATATTGGCTGTAATGCCATTGCACATATTACCTATTAGCCATCCATTC